CCAGCAGCACGTTGAAGCAAACGCCGTCGGCCTTCCCAGCGCTCTTGCCCTGATGCTGCACCCCTAGCACCCCGTGGGCCTGCACAGCCGGGTGGGGGAGCAGGCTGTGCTCCTGCAGCAGCTGAGCGGCCGCCCCCAGCAAGGTGGGTTGGATTTGGCTGGGGGAGGCAGTGCACGCGCACACCGGCAAGTGGGGGGCCCCCACGGCGCTCAGCAGCACCCACAAGTCACCAGCTTCATTGGCAAACGCAGCCAGGAGCCGCTGGCAGAGCAGGGCACAGGGCATCTCCTCCGGCAAGGTGGCTGGGTGGGACGGGCTGTCTCGGTACCGCATGGCGAGGTCCATGAGGGGCAGGATGTCCCGGGCTCGCAGAGGAAGGGCTGGAGATTCTCGGTCCCACCACCGGGCTTGCAGGGATTCAGCATCTGCGTCCTGGGGCGTCTTCAAGGTCCCGCCTAGGCAGAGAACAGACAACACCCAGCGGGGAGCTGAGCTCCTTGCACGCCGCGCTGGCAGACCAGGGCACAGGGCATCTCCTCCGGCAAGGTGGCTGGGTGGGACGGGCTGTCTCGGTACCGCATGGCGAGGTCCATGAGGGGCAGGATGCCCCGGGCTGGCAGAGGAAGGGCTGGAGATTCTCGGTCCCACCACCGGGCTTGCAGGGATTCAGCATCTGCGTCCTGGGGCGTCTTCAAGGTCCCGCCTAGGCAGAGAACAGACAACACCCAGCGGGGAGCTGAGCTCCTTGCACGCCGAGCGGCCCAGGGCTCAGAAGGGGGTGGCGGGGAGGATACGTGTCTGGGGGAGGGAGGAACCAAGCAGTTAAGGGAGATGCTTAGCAGGTAACTGGTTAACCGGCTACCCATTCGCATCCCTAGTTTAAAACATCCTTGGCTGCCCCTCCATCTTCCCTGCAAAAGGTCGTAGCGCCAAGGCCGGAGCCGGGAGACACGGACCCCTTCTCCTCTGAGCTAGCAGCCCCCCCCACCCAGCCTCCATCTTCCCTGCGGCCCCCCCACCCAGAAGCAATGGCGCAGCCCCACTCGAGGCGGCTTACAGGGACGGGGGCAGGGGGAGGAGAAGGCCTTGAAGGCGCCTTCCCTTTTCATTCTGCTCCGAGCTGGAGCCAGGGGGCCGGGCGCAGCTCCACATGAACGCTCCTTTGGTTCATTCCAGGGGGACAGCCAGGAGGCTTCAGCCCCAGGGGCCGAGCTTGGAAGCGAATCCAGATGGGGCCTCTCTCCTCCACGGCCAGCAGGGTGAGGGGCTCGCACTCCAGCCCCGTCTCCTCCTTCACCTCCCGCTTCGTGGCCTCCACGATGGTCTCGTTGGGCTCCATCCGCCCAGCAGGCAGGTACCACGTCCCGTAGCACTCCTGCTTGGCCTCCTGCATCATCAGCACCTCGTTCTGGGAGCCAGGGAAAAATCCCAGGTCACACCACCGGCCCCAGGGCCAGCGCTGCGACCCCATGTAGTCAGTTAACAGGCTGAATGCTGGGTGAACCGGATAACCGGTAGGTGAACTGATTCATCGGGATTTTTCATCCCTAATTCATCCTCCTACTGAACATCTGCCACCAAGCACTTTGGGCTAGCACCTGACAACTAGAATGTGAAACTGGCTAGAAAAGGAGTCAAACCAGGTGCATCGTCATCATGAGGTATTGTTTCTTAGCTCCAATGGGCCGGACAGGCTGTTAGGTTTGGCCAGTAGCATCATGCTCGCTAATGGAGATGCCGATTATCCTGGCAAAAAACGTGCTTTTGCTTGCACAGTTTGTGTGTTTGCTGTCAGCAAAAGAAGGCAAAAGGACTCTTTGCCCAGGATAATCTGCATTTACATTAGGGCGTCTGCCCACAGAAATGCTGCAAAAACCAAGGGGAATAAAATTGATTAGAAAAATAAAATGAAAAAAATGAGACATTTAAATGAGATTTTAACTTACATACATTTCTTTTTAACGATAAACCTCAATAAAAAATGTAATTTGAAATCATGATGACCTAAAATAAAAGGCCTAGTCTTCCTATGCTCTTAAAAAAATCAATTACATTAAAAACCGCATTAGGTATTACAAGTTTGCTGCCATGCTTTAAAACGAAGTCAAACTACGGAAAGTCATTGGTTAAGCACCTGCAACCAGAGTTTGCTGATGTTCTAACCCAGCTTTTGATAATCTTTAATTAAAATTGAAAATAAGTCACTGACTACAGTTCAAAGCTTAAAGTGAAGAAACCAACCAGGAGTGCTCAGAGTATGACAACTTCTTTTCCCCTATCCAATCTAGGAATACACTCTAGGGCTGTGTCTAGACTGGCAAGTTTTTCCACAAAAGCAGCTGCTTTTGCGGAAAAATTTCCAGCTGTCTACACTGGCCACTTGAATTTCCGCAAGAACACTGACGATCTCATGTAAGAAATCAGTGCTTCTTGCGGAAATACTATGCTGCTCCCATTCGGGCAAAAGTCCTTTTGCGCTAAAGGGCCAGTGTAGACAGCTCAGATTTGTTCTGAGCAAAAAAGCCCCGATCGCGAAAATGGCCATCGGGGCTTTTTTGCGCAAAAGCACGTCTAGACTGGCACGGATGCTTTTCCGCAAAAAGTGCTTTTGTGGAAAAGTGTCCGTGCCAATCTGGACGCTCTTTTCCGCAAATGCTTTTAATGGAAAATCATGCCAGTCTAGACGTAGCCTAGGTGTGCAGAAGAAAGCTACAAATTCAAAAGGAAGTGAGACCCGAAAAAGATCACTTTGGTTAATTAACAGATATTCCTTTGTTCACTAAATTAGCTGATTTGAAATACAAAATTATGTTTTGATATTCTCTCCCCCTTCCCCCCCCCCATTCTGTAACCAACTCATTTAAGGAAGTTTTATGTAACTAACCAAAAAAATTACAAAATGCTTTTTTGTGTGTTTGTACTTGAATTCCAATTTCTGTCCAAACAGAGCTTGACACAAATTACAAGCAACAAAATCAAATCAACTGGGACATCATTTCTAATCTTTTTTGATGTGAGGGACCGGCTTGCTGCTTCTCAATTGTACCTCGGGGACTGGACCCAGTTGTTGAAAAACACTTTCTAGTACAATAGAACCTCAGTGTTGACCATGCACCTCGTTTGGAACTTGAATACACAGACAGCAACAGAGAGAAACAAATAAAAAAAGCAACCCCAGTATGGTACTGCGTTAAACATCAACCACTACAAAGATAAAGAACACTTTAAAAAAGATTTGACAAAGGAAACTGTCTTTGCTTGTTTCATTTAAGCTACAATGGTTAAAAAAACTATTTTTTTCAGCACAGTAAAGTTCCATAGCTGTATGAAGTCAATGTTCAGTTGAAAAGAATTAAGAATTTCAATAAAGGTATTGAGTATCAGACGTGTAGCCGTGTTAGTCTGAATCTGCAAAAGCGGCGAGGAGTCCTGTGGCACCTTATAGAGTAACCGAAGTGTTGGAGCATAAGCTTTCGTGGGCAAAGACCCACTTCTAAAGGTATTAGTTCTGTCAAGAGATTTAAAAAATTAATCGCGATTAATCACGCTGTTAAACAATAAGAAGACTCCAGCTGATCCCGGGCTCCATGGTGCGCTGCCCCTTTGAAATTCTGCTGTGGTGTTCCAAAGGGGCATTTAAAGGGGCAGCACCATGGGAGTCCAGGATCAGCTGGAATCCCCAGCTGACCCTGGGCTTCATGCAGCGCTGCCCCTTTGAAATTCCGCGGCAGTTTTTCAAAGGGTCAGCACCGCACAGCTGACTGTGGGCTCGGGGCAGCGCCACACAGCTTATCCTGGGCTCCACTTGTTCTGCCCCTTTGAAACGCAGCCGTGGCGTTTCAAAGAGGCAGCACCGTGGAAACACCTGCGATTAATGCATGTTTAAACGATTAACGTTCTGCCCCTTTGAAACGCAGCCGTGGCATTTCAAAGAGGCAGCGCCGTGGAAACACCTGAGATTAATGCATGTTTAAACGATTAACACGTTAATTCTGCTCTGCATTAATCAGAGGCATTAATGCGCATTAACTGACAACCCTAAGAGGTATGTTACGCTACAGAATTGTTAAAACAAATATTCTCCAGGGTAGCAAAAAGAATCATGTTTATTTAAAGACTGTATTTAGCTGCAAATCAATGTTTTCATCTTCACCAACCAATGAGACTCAACCTTTTGTTAGGAAAGTGACTAAAACATACAAATGCACAATTATATTAAAATCTATTCTTTAAATCAAGGTTTCCTGATTACTCATTTAAAACAACCCATCCCAGCCAAAAAAAGAAATCACACATCTAGCAGATGACGCTATACCATCAAAAGTTACTAGTCTAGTGCCTTCGTTGTTGGAGCTTTGTTCGATTTAGTTGTTAGTAACACAGGCAAAGAAGTTGGGTTTCACTCTATGTTGTGCTACTGACTCACTGTGATGTTGGGCACATCATCTCACCTCTCTGTGCGCCTCGGTTTCCCCAGAGGTAATGTGCAGAGACTACTTCCCTCACCTTTGTAAAAGTGCTTTGAAACAAAGTGCTAGTTAATTTAAAAACACAGGCCAAGATTTCCAAGAGTGGCCAGTGATTCGGGGGACCCAAACTGAGACAGCTTGAAAGGAGCCGGATGTGCAACACTTTCTGGACTGTGGACGTTCACCCTGCAGCGACTCGATGCCACGGTGATGGGCACCAGAGCAGAACCCC